CCTCGAGCTGGTCAACGCGACGGTTCTCGCGCGTTCTGTCTATAGTTGCATATCAACGTAGACATACACATACATATACAAATGGACGCAACAGAGGAAAAAGAAGGACAGCAGAGGGAAGGGAGGGAGCAGGGAGCAGGGAGGGAGCAGGGAAAAGCACGCGTTTGTCGTTTCTCCCTTCCCCTTCTCCTTCTCCTTCTCCTTCTCCTCCTCGTCCTCTTCCCCTTCTCCTCCTTTTCCTCCTTTTCCTCCTCGACCTCTTCCCCTCAAGTCTCCTGGGGACGCGCGAGTCTACCTTGCGACTCGGCGCTTAGGCACAGGATCTGGGTCCCGTGTCTCGGGCGCATGCGCAGGACAGCCTTGCTACGTTGCCGTGGATGCGCCCGTTTTAGTTGACCTGCGCTGACGGGGGTCTTGCGTGCTTGCTCGCGTCTTACAGGTTGGCCATCCGGTGTTTCCAGGCGTGCCCAGTGCATGTGGTTGGGCATCGTTGGCGCTTGCTTTCCCCAATCGGTGCTTACGTTTAGGGATTCTCATTTCTGCTCTAAGGAAACAGGCCGTGCTGTCGGTCTGGCGGCTGTGCGGCCGACGTGGCCTCCCCGTCGCCGCTTCGTCGCCGCCCGTCGTCTGGGCGGGCCGCGTCTGCGGTCTGGCGATTGTGTGGCCGTCGTTGCCGCTTCGTTACCGCTTCGTCGCCGCTCCGTCGCCGCCCTTCGCCGCCATTGTGCCGCACCGCACGAAAAAACACAAATCGCGTCTGCAGCATGTGTGTGTGTTTTTTTGGAACGCCCACAATGTAGATTACACCACCTGTATTGCAGACCCTAGCTTGCACCGCACAGACTGCACAGCACAGATTGCGCATCCACGTGTATTACAACGTCTAGACTGCACGACGTAGGTGGCACCACATAGATTGCCCCACATGTACTGGCCTACATGTACTGCGCAGCATCGATTGCCCCACACATCTTGCACATCATAGATTGCACCACATCGGTTGCACAACCTATATTGCTCCCAATAGATTGCCCCCCCCGTTGATTGCATAGCATATATCGCACAGCCCTGATAGCACCACATAGATTGCACAGCATCGATTGCACTACACATATTGCCAGGAACACATCTTTACCGCCCACACAGGCATTCAACACATGCACATATGAGTACACTGACTGTGATGTCCACGTGGTTGTTGCCGCGGCAATTGTGCGTGGTGGTGGATACGATTGCGTGCCTATGGGTGCCTATGTCAACTGTTGGCCAGGATAAGATCACGCATGCGTTCGTCAAGTGTCTCCACATGCCTGTGCACCTGTATATTGCCAGATGTGTTCACGTGGTGCTCGTCCCTTAGCGGGAAGAAGGGTGAGAGGGAGGACGAGAGCTGCAGCATCATCACATGCAGCAGCCGACAGCCGTTTACGCAGCCGCGAGCGGCATAAGGGGGGAGGTGGGTGGGGCAGCAGGCGGCGAGCGAGGACACGGAGCAGGAGGAGGACGCCAGGAGGACGAGGAGGAGGAGGAGGAGGAAGAGGAAGAGGAGGAGGAGGAGGAGGAGGAGGATATGGAGGAGGAGGAGGCGGTGGAGGATGAGGGGAGAGGAGGAGGAGGGAGGAGGAGGACGGAGCGAGAGACATAGGAGCTCCGGGAACATGAGTTTAGGAGGAGGAGGATTGAGACAGAAAGTATGATGCTGACGAGGGATAGGGAGGAGAGAAAAAGGAGAGGAGGAGGTGAGAGGAGGACGTGGTAGAAACATACCTCACCACCAATAATCACACACTTTGCTGGAGGAGGAGACGGAGGAGGAGGAGCGAGGAGGAGGCGTGGAGGAGGAGGGAGGAGGCGGAGGAAGTGAGGGGGAGGGGCGACGGAGGGGAAGGGGAGGAGGAGGCGGCGGCGGAGGAGGAGGGGAGCGCGGAGGAGGAGGCGCCAGCTGCATGCAGCTCCTTCTGGCCGCAGGAGGCCCGCCGCCCCTTCCCCCCCCCCCCGAGGCAGCTGCACGGGCGCTAGCCTGTCGCGCCGTGGCGGCGGGCCCCGCTCGTCGGCTTCCCCCCTCGCGGGGTGGAGAGCGGCCGCCCCGCGGGGAGCGCGGCAGAATGCGCCGCCCGCGTGCGCTCCGAGGGCGTCATCGTCGCGGTCGTCGTCGTCGTCGTCGTCGTCGTCGTCGTCGTCGTCGTCGTCGTCGTCGTCGTCGTCGTCGTCGTCGTCGTCGTCGTCGTCGTCGTCGTGTCGCGTCGTCGTCGAGGTCGTCGTCGTCGTCGTCGTCGTCGTCGTCGTCGTCGTCGTCGTCGTCGTCGTCGAGGTCGTCGTCGTCGTCGTCGTCGTCGTCGTCGTCGTCGTCGTCGTGGTTGTCGTCGTCGTCGTCGTCGTCGACGTCGTCGTCGTCGTCGTGGTTGTCGTCGTCGTCGTGGTCTTTGTCATGGTCATGGTCATGGTTATGGTCGTCGTTATCTTGGTCATGGTCGTCGTAGTCGTGGTCGTGGTCGTCGTCGTCGAGTTCGTCGTCGTCGTGCTCGTCGTCGCCGCGCGCGGGCGCGAAGTCTCGGGGAACAAACGGGGGCAAGCCCTAGGTGTGCGAGTTACAACCACTGCAGTAGGGCAGGTGGGGCGGATCGGGGTCTGGACGAGTGGTCCGAGGTGTTCGGGCACCATTCTGGCTTAAGCCGCCTTGCACTTTCCGTTTGTCTCTGTCTGCTGCCTGGTACACGGAGGGCAGGGAGCAGGGCCCAGACCCAGGAGGGGTGCGGTGATGGCTGCCCAGAGCTCGCCGCGTGGGCGCTCGAGCGGCTCGCCGTGCTCGCTCTAATCAGGGACCTGGTGGAGTTTCGCGCGCTCGGCAGCGTGCGCGGCCCTGCCAGCCTGCTGCGAGCCAGGAGCGCCCGGAGCTCGTCTGCCTGCAGCGTGGAGCTGATGGCCGAGAGCCTCGACGGCCGAGAGCCGCGCCAGGGCGTGCGCGCCCCTTCGCCAGGCGCGTGCGAGGCTGAGGCGGCCTGCTGCGAGACGGGCGTCGGCCCAGAGCTCGCCGCGCGTCTCGTCGAGCCCGGCGCCGCGCTCACCCTGGATTCGAGCGCAGACGGCCGCGCAGCGGCACGCGAGGCAAGTCCGCTCTGCTGCGAGCTGGGCAGCCCGGAGCTCGCCCACGCGTTCTTTGGAGGTTGGTTGGCGACCGAGCTCGCCAGGGACTCGGTTGAGTTCGTCCGCTGGGCGGCGCACAAGACCTCGGCAGCCAGCCCCGTGATGGCCAGCCTGGAGCTCGCCACGCGGGTCTTCGAGCTGATGGCCGAGTTCGTCAAGGACCTGGGCGCCGACGACCTCAAGGCAGCGCGCGACACCCTGACGGCTTGCTGCTCGCCGCGTGGGCTTTCTTGGACCCGCTCCCGAGCTTGCCCAGGACTCGGCCGGGCGCGCCCATTCGGCAGCGTGCATGCCCTGGCGCCGCGCCTGGCACGGATTGCGCCGGGGCAGCTTGGTATCAGAGCTCGCTGCGGAGTGGACATGCGCGCTGGCCTCGGCGGCCAGCTGCGTGAACCAGGATGTCAGGCCTGGCGGCGCGCTGCAGACTGGCCTGCCCGCAGGTGCTCGCCGCGCGGGCTGTACAGCCAGCGGCCGAGCTTGCCAACTGGCCTGCTGCGAGACGACCCGTTCGGAGCTCGCCGCGCAAGTGGGCACTGCGGGCTAGGCTGCCTGAAGCTCGCCGCGCGTGACGCTGGCCGAGTTTACAAATGACTGTGGTGCTGGCTGAGGGCGCCTGAAGGTCGCAGTGCTGGTCATGAAGCTTCTGGCCTAGATCGCCCTGGAGCTGCTGACTGAGCGCGCCGCGGCGCTTCTGGCCGAAAGCGCCTGGAGGAGACCGGCGTGGCCATGAAGCTGCTGGTCAAGCGAGTCAGGCGCGACGTAGCGCACTGGCCAAGCTCAGCTGGAGGCCGCCGTGCTGGCCGCGAAGGTTCTGGCTGGTCTCACCATGAAGCTGCCAGCCGGGCGCGCCGTGGAGCTGCTGGCCGAGCGCGTCGCCT